GAAAACTTATGTGATAAATTCTCAGATATTCTTCATTTTTCAATTGCAAAACACTGTTTAGAGACATTATCTGGCAATTAAGGCAAAGGACTTAACTTTAAAACATCCCACAACAGAGTTTTAGAGCAATTAGTGTCTAAGAACTAATCTATAGAAAAGAAATGGACATGTGGTTTACTGTGTAGTATCAACTAAAGTCCACAGCAACTTTTCACTTGAACAGTCATCATTTCAGGTCAATACATCCCTAAGCTTACCTTTTTCTTGTCTGAAAACTCTGTAACGGGGAGTTGGGTACAGGTCCTGATGATTTATCTTTAGTAATAGACCCAGACACATCCCCAGCCTGGTCTATACCTGAGGTGGACCTCCCATACCTCTGCTGAGGAGTAATGGCCACTGCCACAGAGGTCCTGCTCTTTGTGAGGGTCCCATGATCACTCGTCTTGTCTCTCCTTTTGGTAGATTCTAATGTTTTTCTTACGCCAGAATTAACGTCCGGTGAAAATGGGGAAATGGACTTTAGAGAGGAATCAATCTGAAACAAGCCAACAGCCATGATCTGTCACAACCTCTATTACAGAAAATTATTTCTATTCAATGGCATTGGCTGAGGACATATTAAACAAAGTATTTAAAACACGGTAAATCAAGTGGTGACCACAGCTCTATTATATATATATATTTATTTTACACACAAGTTTACTTTACAAAATACAGGCAAAACAAACATTATAGAGGAAAACATACCTGAAATGCAGGCTTCACAACTTTTGACAAATCTGGATTTTTGGCAAACGCCTTGCCTTTGATTCTTTTTTCATTTTCTTTTTCCTTCAGCCATTTGTCATCAGAATCTAATGTAGATGCATCTGGTGGAAAAATTAACATGATTGAAAGAATATATTCATGGCAAATGCCAGATTGTAATTCTTTATTGGGTCAAAGTATATAATACCAACATTTATGTTTGTTTCATTTTTGAAAAAAAAAAATATCATGCCATTCTAAACATGGATTTAGGCAAACGGTTATAACTGATTATCTATCAACCTACCAATCACAAATCCATTTTTTAGGTACAAATAATTAAAGTAAAAATTTTCCTGTGGTCAGAGCACCAGCTTCAATATTGATATTACACTGGATATTACACTTAAACTTCTGTTGGTTTTCTTATCTCATTTAATCACATCATCTACTTAATATTCACTGTGGAAACACAGTTACCTGAATCAGACCAGTAGTCATCAAAGTTCTCAATGCCATCGTGGAATATTCTGATATTCTTCCCTGCTCTGACATCTCTCCCTGTTCGCCTTAGTAAGTAAATAAACAGATGAATAAAGAAAAACAAATGCATTCTTGCTAAATTAAAAATATTAGATAATTTCCTGAATAATGAAAATTTCATAAATCTTCCAGTGCCATGAAATTATAAATATAAAGTAAAACACTATTAACATGATGATGAGCATCAAAGTAACAAAACAGTATCATCCACATTAAGTATCTTAAAGTGGCTGACCAATACTGCTGTCTCACTTTAAAGAAGTCTGTAATCCACAAAATGTAACAAAATTTGTGATTGAGCAACTTCAAATGGGTCAGCACTAGATCATATACGGCAGCGGGACGGAAGTGAGTAATCCAACATGGCGGCCCCCAGCGCCGCCGCAATCGGCAATCCTCGGCTCATTCTGCAAGCTCCATACTAACCATACTTATTGTCGAGTGCGGAGACATCCGAGTAGTTCCGAGTGGCGCCGCCGGGACATTTATAGGATGTAGTTTTACAGCAAAATATCTAGGAAAATATACATGTATGCTATATCCCTAGGGATTCTTTATTGATACACCTTCACAAATAAGGTACAATCAAAGACAGTACATCTAACTATAGCAGAGTACAAACAAGTAAATGAATAAATATACATGATTTTGATGCCATATAGATGAATACGTGTTTAAAAATGGGCCAAAGTACAATCATAGAGGTAAAACAGACAACTCCAGCTACAGATACGTAAATTTGCAGGACGTGGAAACGCATTTAGACCCAATTAGATAAATGTATAATAATACTAATAAATGAGTTTATAAAGTGATATATGTAAAATGTGTAATGATAATCTACAGGCGATAAGAGAGGGTTTGTTCCCTTTGTTGGAAGCATCTATTTACAAAACACATAACCATTCTAAGAATATATATTTAAGTCTTGAGCACCCATAAGAAAATTATACAGTTCATTAAAGCTGAAGTCGCCTAGGGGTAGGAACTCTGACAGCTGCCCTCTGAAGGGATCACATATTGAATCATATGCTTTGCACTCTAGCAGGAGGTGGAACTCATCTACTTTATTCAAATCGCAAAGTTTACAAAATCCCAGGTATAATACGATTAAAAAATAAAAAGATAAATTAAAAAGTAAATAAAAATTATATGCTATATTCCTAGTTATTATACGATTAAAAAAAAACAATTGAACTGTGTTTTGATCAGCACTACAACATTCGACTATCAGCCTTAGCATCTCGTCGCTAGGGACCGCCATGTTGGATTACTCACTTCCGTCCCGCTGCCGTATATGATCTAGTGCTGACCACTTCAAATGTAGGTCCACCATGGGTCATAGGTTTTAAATAGCACAACAGGATCATATAGAGAATCTAAAATCTGGGGGTGTCTTTCATTTTCTCCCCCCCCCCCCCGCCCCCCCATGACCAAATAATCTATCTGTTTCATGCCTGCAAACTTCAAAATATCATAAAACGATATAAATGAAATAACCCAATGGTCTTGTCTGTAATTTAGGAATAGCTGATAAAAGTACTTATGTATCATTATTTATCTTACCTTCCAATATTTCTGTTCTCTGGCTTGAATGGGTTCACAAAAACTGCCTGCAGTGGAATAATATACATGTGTACTTGCATCATTAAACACTACAGACTACTCCAAAAGCACAGACCTCTGCCTAGCAAGAAAATCCAGTCATACAGCCTGATTATTTGCCATGAAAATTTTCTATATGAAATGATAATTGTTTGATTGGAAGTCGCATATTCAACATAATCATTACTCTCTTGACCTAGTTGCGGTTATATGCTTACTTGTTTTCCAGGTCCTGGCATATTTCTGTGATACTTCGTAAATTCCACTATGGTAAAAGTGTTAACATAACAAATTTACAAGATTTTAACAAAATTTGATCATCCATATTCTTTTAACTCTAATGTGACCAGGTGAAATGACCGTTCCATTTATCCGCCATTTTACGATGAGCTGCCTGTGAAATAGATGGGGCTTCACGACCAAGAAATGCTTGATAAATGTGACGGTTGTTTGCTAATTATTTAAACAGAATCATGGCAAATTTCTTTATTGATACTTTTGATTTTTTCTTCTGAATTGGTCTGTGTAAATAAGATTGCAATACTACCACTAATCAAGGATGAGAATTCATATTGGGGCCTCTTGTAATGTAGCCTCCCCTATCGGGGAATTAAAAGATCTGAAACTGGAGGGAGAAACGAATGGCACTGAGCTAATCGTAACTCCTAGTGGAAATTTTTAAGGTTAGACTACATCAATAACTTGTAAGACTTTAATACAACTTAACTTTGAAAAAAAAATTAATCCAGATTAGTCTTTATAGATATGGGAAATATAAAACTATTGACAAAATCCACAGCAAGTTCTACAGCCGTCTGAATTCAATATCTCCAGTACTACCACAGTAGCCAACTTCCAAATTTTATTTCATTTTTAAAATGTTGATAAATATAAATTGCATATATTTTCAAGTACAGTAGTTGGATTGTACAAATTCTTATATTAACTGTTGCAATTATTAAATATATTTCATAAAATTAAATGGCAATGAATTAAAAATTTCAATGGATGTTTGAGTCCTATTTAAAAGTATTTTAAGAGGCCAGAATGAGAAGAGCGGAGTGCTAGCTAGGCCACGACCTAAATATGGCGGACCTACATGAAAGGAAGACTGCTTAATCTTGTAGTGGTCTATCTGCCTTTCACACGGCTCCCCATGGGTCATCCCTTGACTGGTTTAATTGAGCCAAGATTGAATTACTGTGCACCTGCAGGGACGACACGTGGTGAGGCGAATGAGAGGCGAAGAGACCATTACAGGATTAAGCAGTCTTCCTTTCATGTAGGCACCGGTCCACCATATTTAGGTCGTGGCCTAGCTAGCACTCGGCTCTTCTTATTCTGAATGGCCATAAAGTGACATTAATTTTTAAAGGTATTCAGTGCCCATGGTGAATAAGACCTTTTTTCATCGAACTGTGGTTGTGGCTACATGATTGAATTTGTGATCTTAGAACACAGTACTGATTTTGAGAGCTCATGCAAGTGTTACAATGAATCTCTGAAGAGTGATATCCATTATACACATTACAGCACAACATAGCACACAAGAGAAAATGACTGAATGCGAATAAACACAAGAAGCAATTATTTGCAAATTGCAAGAAAATAGGGTGATATAAAAGTGAAATGAATCATTAGGTAATTAATATAATATGTTGATCCAACTTGGCAGATCTGGGGCTATGTTATCGTAAAGGTTGTAAATTACAAATAATGTAACTTGTCACGTTAGTTCGATTGTTTTTGTAAATTGGTATTTTTGAAGGTTTATAAGTTACAAACTCTTGTAAAAAGCATGTAAATTTACAACTGCCTCCAAACTGTTGTAACTCTTTACGAAAAGTTGCATTTGGTGAAAACTTGCGGAGGGAGTGTTGTCTGCGGAAATTCTATGCTCATGTTTAATGTTGGATATTTTTGACAGCAAGTAAAAATTACTAAACCATGGATCTATAATTATCAGCAAGAAAGGTTAGCCTAACACTACATAGACATTGCAAATATAATTACTAAATGACATAGTGCATTTAGAAAAAGTGACATCTTGTGAAAAAAATTGTTTGTGAAAGAAGCCTGCTTTATGCAATTCTTGATTTCCTTTCTGTGCTGAATAACATGGTTTAATTCATAGAACAATTATGAATAGATCTAGGTCTTTAAATTTGTTAATTTTGTTATAGCAACAGCTAACAGAGACTCTTGTTTCAGGATGCCAAGAATAATTTGTGATGAAATGTAAATTGCATATATAAGCACATTTAGGTAAACAAGCTGAATGTAATTTAGACTTTAATCCTTTATCCAAGTAATTATATTAGCAATTTCTGTATGGTGCCAGACGGGGGAATGTGTGTAAAATCATAATTTTTTATTCATAAGATAAAGAAATTGCTCAGTCAAATGATAAGTCGGTGGTCCAGCTGAGTACAGGGATAAAACATATTTGTAAAGAAATACACCACAAATCGAAATAAAATGTAGAATTCTGAATGGTACATGAATCACAATTGCACATTGATGGAAATAAAACAACACAGACTAATGGATCTGTGGATAGAGGGTTATGTGCTTGCAACTAGTAGTTTTTCATACAGTTTGGTATGCTTTATTTAAACTCAGAAAAAGATGATAACGTTTGCCCATCTGCATGTTTTGAGAAAGGTAATATGCAACTTAAAATACAATTTTTCATACATGTGCAAAGTGATTAAGTGCCCAATCTAAGTCAAGCATCTTTAGTTTAAGAGGGCACTGGAAACTATCCTCTTTGCTATCAGTTTTAAGAGATCTTTTAAGAAGTCAGAATTTAACATGTTTTTGCAATATATTTTTTCCTTCCAGTAGTTGTAAAACTACAAAGAATACATGTTTGAGTTTCATTTTCTGTTACAAAGTCCAAATTATTTACATTAAATTACTACACAGTACAAATATTGCTGTGAAATTGTTTTTTGTATTTTCATGTTTGTATACATCCAAGTTCCATCTATAAACATTTTTCATGCTTATATATTTTAGACACCATGAACGGTAACCAGTTTCTGACAACTTTGAAGAAGTTGGGTTATCCACAAGCCAGTAATTTAGATGCCCAAACATTTGATTGGATATTTGAAAATGATGCAGTCTTACCATTTTTAGAATGGTTTTGTGACCATGCCCATGCACTGAATGTTTTACAGGATAGAGAACTAAGAGAGTAAGTGCTTTGGGTACCTTGCATTTGACACATACAGGCAGAACTCATCAAACTTATTATACCTCCTTCTGCCCCTTTGGTTATACCTTGGTTCCACCAGTAAATACTAATCAAGATTATACTGTATACATGCACATGTATGGCAGAATGGCCCTAACCTTTTTATTACTAAATAGTTGGATAATATATGAACTTGTAATGAAATTCTGTTGTACATAAATGTATGTTTCAGATACAGATCTCTAGAGGAATCCACTGGAGTGCTGGAAGGTCCACAGTTACAAGATGCATTGAACAGCATTGAAGGAGCCGAGGATGACATTCCAGTTGCTGAATTGAGGTTAGGTGTTTTCTTGATAAGAAGGTCAAATTTTGAATAGATATTGTTACACTGTGTACATTCTGATCCTCTGTGTCTGACCATGTTGCCACCTGTTTGCCCCTCAAATGACAAATAGTAGTTTTGTTTTACCTGAAATTTACAGGAAGTTTTTAGTTTCCTAAATAATTCAATATAGTTTAGGATTTATAATTTACATAGATAATTTTTACTGAAGCTATCTCATTTTTTTAAAAATTATTTTCATATATACTTGAATATTATTCGTCCCATTTTTTATGAATTAAGTTAATTTCAAGAAATACATTGTTTTCTTAAATAGCTAATTGCTTAGTGTAATTTATCTACATTTGTGATGGTATGTTTTCTTTAATAGCTAATTGCTTAGTGTAATTTATTTGTACATTTGTGATGGTATATTATAGAGAGCATGTAAACTCTATGAAGATGGAGCTAGATTTATGGAGGGGAAGAAAGGAAAGTATACTGAGGCAGAGAAACAAGCTAAGGTGAGGGGAAATTTGTCATCAAGGACCATGGGCATGCCATGAATTTAATGCTTGTGTTTAATGTTTTATGAATAAGGAAACATAAAAGAAAAATACTTCATATTTGAAACCGGATAAAGGAATGTACTATCTTACATTTTAGTTTACATAACACTTCTGTCAACCACAAGCTCTCAAAGTTGGGACCCATGGAAACTGTTGCCAAAAAAGACTACAAGAGATGCCTTGAACAGAGCCAGGCTGACAATTCAAAGGTACAGCATTGTAATACTGTACTTTTTATGATTATAGTACTTAACATAAGTGCTCTTAGACAAATATTTGGTCATGTTTCCTAGCTCTTGGGTGAAGATGGCATGATGGCATTGCACAGTTCCTATACAGGCAGTGTTCAGTGGACTTGTGTTGATCATGATAATGCGTGAACCTGTTGTTGGTCTCTTTCTCTTCCACATGGTGGTTTTAGGAGGCATAACAATGGTGAGGTGTTTAAAACCAAGGACGTTCAATATACGTCCTTGCTAAAATTTACTGAAATTAACTTGCATGAATTTGTAGTTGTGTTTTCTCATTCTGCCCACATGGGTGCCAAATACTGAGGCTGCATCAACAACATATTGATCATCAAGGAAGCAGAACTGAAGGCACATGGCAACTTCACCAAGACTGAAAGGGATTTTTATGATCACTTTTCAACAGACAAAATGATATTTTCCTACCCAAGCTCATGGTCACATCCAAGACACGACACAATGCACCCACACATAGTACTCGCCTTAGCCTGTAACCACAGCCCACTCACTTTGTCCAAAAAGTCAAACGGAAAATCGTGTAATATTTCATTGCTCACACCCATGGCAAATATAATCTAGGCTTATATAACTTTACACTTATGTTGGTAGTGTGGAAGTGTCCCAGATTACCCCTTTTCTTTCTCTAATTGAATATGTGTAATAGGATTAACTGTTTTACAGCAGCTTATTCTAGGAAGAGAAATATATCAGCACTTGCCTGCTGTTTTAAGGTTAAGACCTTTGAGCATTTGATGCTGTGCAAATGACTATAAAAGTAACAGTGTTGGCATTAAGGTATGGATGTACCCAAATATAGCTAAAAATCGTCATTTTTGGTTTTTTATGTCTAATTATTGGTTAAATGTGTATCTAACGTTTAACAGAATAAAATTTTTACATTTTGAACAAAAAATATGTTTTTTTTCTGAGGATTCTGATGCTGCACACATCGGCACCGGTGGCCTGGTCTATGCCCCGCCTTCGTTGTCAAGGGCTGTTGGCATGGGTAAACTCGATGGGCGGACCTTAGCAGCATCAGCACGTCTAGGGAAACAATAGAACAGGGATGCGCCATGCCCCCTTTGTCATAAACAGCGATCGGCAAAGCAGTGCCTATTTTTCCGCTTAAGCTGTTTTGATAGTCGCTCTTGATTGTGATCAGCGCTAAGATGAATCTTTTCCGACACATTGGATTTGCTCGAAATACGCGTTCTCCCTTGAATATTGCTTGTTGTTACACGCGCTCTTTAGCTTTTCTTGTTAACTTTTTGAGATACGCAAAAAAAAGAAGAAAATTCCGTTGCTTGCTACCCGTGACAACAATCGTCATACTTTCTATCCATTTTCGACAACAGCTTGATGCAGTTGTTAGATTTTAAAAATCTTAACATGGGCGTAACTAGGCATACGCACGGATGCACTGTGCGTACAATTTTTTGGCCAACCATGATATTATTTCATATAAATTTAGTGTATTTTTCACGGAATATAAAGAAATCCTCTGCACCTGTATGAACAAATCCTCTGTATCAATTGTATAGGCACAATTGTTCTGACCCCCCCCCCCCCCCCCGTCTTGCATACTTTTATTGAACTGAGGTAAACAATGCCTGAAACCTAAACAAGTTTTATCTTAATTGTCCATCTAACTGGAACTTCCTTTACCTCTTAATTGGAGGTTTCAGTGGCCCATAACTCTCCTGAAGCCTCGCTGGCGATATTTAGCTCGGGTAAAAATCTACCTGAGTGTTATTTTCAAAGAGCAGCTCCCGCAACCCTGAGGGCACTAGATAAAATCTGGACACCAGGTTTTATAAGGAGCTAGAGAAACAAAGGAAGGATTTTTCCTGCAAAGCGTCAAAGAATTTTGAAACGGAGTTGACCCAGCTTTTTTCTTCAACAATTATCGCAGAATTTTTCCTGGCTCACCCAACTTTAGACATTTCCTCTAACAAAACATTTTTGGTTGCGTCTATTTCTTGTTGTTGATGGTCCGATCGGGTCCTGTAACACGACCGTGTTTTCGAACCATTTTTCGCTTGGCGAATGTGGACAAGACCGCCTGCGATGCTGCTATTGTGTGCACATCCTAGAGCGCATCCCTAACACTTTCCCCGACGGCAATTGACGTGGCCACTGATTGCTTGAGTCATTAGGGTTTACTTGATTGCCTGTCAATCATTCTGGCAGTGCTAGCAGTAACCCCTTGAAGTTACTAACAGGAGGTGAGATTGATACAAAAATAAGATTTTTTGACATCCAAATGCATGCAAACAAGCTAATTTCAACCGGCAATAGAGTACCCATCTTCGCGATCGTCAGAACAATAACAGGTAAATCTGTCAACAATTTAATTTGCCAATTTAGACAATTAACCTCCCTGAAAGGGTTTTTGCTCGTTTTCTTTGCTTTCAATATTGACGAGATAGCGTTATCTTAGCAAGCTATAACTGTCTACCTGTACACCTGAGGGAGACCAAATTTACCATGCTAATTATGAAAAGTATGCACTAAAAGTGCTTTTTAAGAAATTTTGATTGATCCTCTCTTTTCTAATTTATAGACTTTGAAAGTGAAAATTCCCTAATATTTTGATGTAATTTCCCGTTTTTATAGATAAAATCAACAATAAGTGTCTGAAGAAAAATCCCTGACTGTAATTACTGGCAGCGCGAGCCAGTTACTATAAGTTACTATAAGTAACTGGCTCGCGCTGCCAGTAATTACGCGGCGGGATATTCAGGGCACAGACCGTGATCAGAAGATGGCGCAAATAGAAAATAGAAATTAGAAAATAGACATTGCATGTGAACGAAGCCTTAGCAATGAGGATTTACTGTTTGTACAACTCACCCAAGTCATGGCAGAGACCTGCTATCTGCACACACAAAATATCCTGTTCAGTTATCTTTAATTCCGGTTGTCTGTCTTTTAGTTCTCTGACCAGTCTGCCGGCTAAATAACAGACTCTGAAATAATAATAATGATAAATAAATGAATAACAGTTCGACCTGAAATAACATAAAGGGATAATAACTCTTTGTATGAGTTCTATATTTCACAATAAAAACAATGTGAATAATTCATAGAAATATCAAATATTCTGTTTTACCACAAAAACGGCAGTTTTAGCTATTATTCTGATATCTGAGCTTGTCTGTAGACCACGTGACCTCCAATGATGGCTATACTCTGTTAAAATCTCTTAAGAGATTTTAACAAAAAACCGAACTTTTTAGTGTTAACAAAAAACGAACTTTTTAGAAAAAAAACAGGGACTAACTTTGAATGTAAAAATGGATTCATTAACCATTGGTAAGTATGGGAAAATTGTTGTTTACTCCAGGAAAGTTCATTTTTTGGCCGAAACAAAGAGTTATTATCCCTTTAAGGTATTAAGTATGCATATTACGCTAAAAAGTCATTTTGTTCTAAGCTATTGGTGCTAAACCACTCCACAAAAGAAATCTTTTTACAAGCTGGCCAAGCTCATTATTTGAAGCCCCTATATCCAATCTTGGATTTCATTGTTTTCATAAAACAATTTAGAAGTTTAAATGTTGTAAACATGACACATTTATATAAATTATCAAATACTATTTACCCACAAAAAATATATTTCATCTTAATTTACAAAATTCTTCAATTTTTTTTTTTACAAAACCTTGTGTTTGATATGATTCTGATCATAGCAACTTTGTTTGGAGCACTGTCAAATAAAAGTACTGATCATGATAGCACGATATAATACGTGCACAAACACACCATGATAAAGGTAATTAATTTAAGATACATCACATCTTAAGTGTTTGATTAATATCCACCATTTCATCATTGCTTTAATTAAAAATAAGTAACTTGGCAACCCATACATGATAAAGACCATTTATTCAAGGTATGACAAATCTGAAGCATTAGATCAATATCTACCATTTCATCATTGCTTAAAAAAAAAAAAAAAAACAGTAAGTTGGCAAGTGATAAAACTACTTGTGTGTTCCCACATATATTACCCTATGGAATGTTCAAATCTGTTATGTGTTGCTCCTGGGAAGACATAATAGGCGCCACCGAGCTGTTTCAGATATCTCAGTCTCTGGAACTGCGGAGTGTCAATAATACGCACACAGAGAGGGTGTAACTCTATGTGGCCATGGATAGGGTCATTGAACACCTGGAAGATTATAGAATAAGGCAAGGAAAATAAAATCCCCATGTTCTCTTTGTTAAATGTAACCTATAAAATAGAGTCAAGAGATACCTGGGCAAACTTATTTCAGATGACCAATGCGGTTATATTTCCAGGAGACACATCGGAGAAAATATCCGTACTGTATATGATATTATGCAATACACAGAAGATAACCATATTCCTGGAATGTTAGTGATATTAGATTTTGAAAAGGCTTTTGATGCTGTGCCATGGAAATTCATAAACAGGGTACTAGTTTTTTTTTATTTATTTTGGTGAAAGTATTTTTTAATGGATAAATACTTTCAATAAGGGTGCCCAAGCTGCAATAAATCAAGGAGGCAATCTCCCAGAGTTCTTTTACATTAAAAGAGACTGCAGGCAGGGAGACCCAATAGCCTCCTATTTGTTCATTTTATGTGTGGAAATACTCTCAATAATACTCAAGAATAACAAAAATATAAAAAGTATCACTATTGATAATGCCCCTATTTTATTATCTCAATACGCAGACGATACCACCTTGATGCTTGACGGCTCAGAAAAGTCTTTATCTGAACTAATGACTGAACTAGAGAAATTTTCAAAAATAACAAAGATAAAACAATGATAGTATGGATAGGACGTATGAACTTCAGTAATTTAAAATTTTTGCCACATATGCATCTTGATTGGGGAAAGCACCAGTTTAAACGGGCATACAAAGCGGTTTTAGATGGAAATTATTCACAAAAACTGCACTTTTACAACAGCAAACAATCCAAATAAACAAGATATATTTCAAATTTAACGTCTAACAGGTGCCCAGTATGTAGAAATAAAGAAATAAAAATCACATTTACATCCCACAATTGCAACATACTTTGTGCGTCAAGTGACTCAGATGCTAGCATATGAATGAACGAGTGGGAAGAAGTGTGGGAAAACTGCTCAACCTACTTTCCATCGGTGAAGGCCGAGGGGGCAGGCGTACCACATGACTGCCCTAATTTAACAAGTCAATGCAGCGGACAATCCAAAGAAAAACTTTTTAGCACATAAGACTAAAGAGGGACATAAAGAAGAAGTGAGTATGACACAAAACTTGCACGAATAAAAGTAGGATTATAATAGAGAGGGCAATAGCATTTCAATAGAGGTAAACAAGACCATAAATGTTCGGAGACCTTGCACCGAGACATCATTGAATAATGCAATGGCCACAATGGTTAGGAAGCCCTGATAGTATTAGTAGTAAAAGGTGGTGCGCAGTGAATGAATTGTGCGCATGCAAACCATTTTCAAAGACAGCAGAGCGTAAAACTGAACGAGAAGAACGGACAAAAAACGAAGCTGAAATCGTTTGAAGAATAATATACACATCCAGTGGTGATGATTATTTAAGATAAACAATTTTAAGTCACCACTCTTATGTCATCTCAACCACCATTATAACACCCTCACTCGGTTTGTATGCCCCTATAATCTTTTGGGAATCGAATTTCATGTTGATCAATTTCAAATCCCTAGACTTAACTTTGATAAGAAATTAGTAAAAATTAAGTCTATTCTTAAAGCACTGAACAGAAGAATGGTCAACCCCCAGATCGGCAAGTGTATGATTATAAAATCCTTAATAATTTCTCAATTATATCATTTGTTTATATCCTTCTTGAATCCGTGTTATTTGCATGGAAAGAACTCAGGGTCAAGGAAGATAAGTAAGGGGGAAAAGCAAGTCTGCGTTGGACACCCCTGTCTGGTATAATAAAGTGCTAAGAGTAGACAGTAAGGAAATGTACTTTAAGTATTGGTTCAATAAAGGTATATCTACATTAAGGGATTTTATAAAAGATGCTAAAACATTTACTTTTTTCTCACAAGAAGAAATAACTAAGTGATACGGTATTCAGACCAGTGGTAAGCATTATTAAGCAATACCTGAGATTGCATGACATAAAAACAAATTTGAAGAAATGCTCCCTTAACTCCCACAAAAGTAAGAAGGGCTGCCAAGATTTCTATAAAATACTTAGTAAGAATACTTCAATTCCAAAGGGCAAAATAAATTGGAATAAATTGTTCAATATTAATGGCAAAGAGTTGTCCCTAATAAATAAACTGCCCTTCAACCTTCCTATCAATCCTAAATTTAAATGGTTCCAGTATAAAATAAACCAACATATACTACCGACAAATAGTTATCTTGCTAAAACTGGTTTGGTCAACACGCTCCTTTGTAAAAGGAGGGAGAAAGAGATGGAGACAATTATTCATGTACTATGGGACTGTTCCGTAATGGAAACCTATCTAAAAGTAATCAAAGATAAGCTGAGAATGACTTTAGAGAAAAAAAAAATTATGTTAGGAATTCTTGACAAAAAGGAAAGTAATAAAAATGTGTATAATGTCTTAAATATGTTAATCAAATAGGTGCAGAAACAAGCAATTATTACTTAATTATTCTCTTTTGTTGAATTTGCTAAAGAATTTGTGCCATCTTAGGACAATATAATAGTTTTGAGTGTAAATGTGTGACAATTCCCTTATGCCTTGGGGACATAGCCAATTAGTGCATGTCTAACATCTCTGTGTACCTAGTTCACAGCTGAGCCTTTATATGAATCGGAGATAATTTCAATAGTCCCAACTGTCAGTCTTTTGTGTTCTACTAGATTCCTTATGGAGACTATTATATGTTTATATGTTGGTTTGTAATGTGTAGTAACTTGTTCTGTATGACAATGTAAGTGATGCTTTCTGTTAGTAACCAGGCACTTGAAGTGAGATGTGGTGACACCGTCACACCTTTCGATAAGTTTCCGAAGTACCTTGGCATCACATTGGATCGGAGCCTCAACTACAAGGCTCACATCAACAAGGTCGCTGCAAAGGTTGGAGCGAGAAACACCCTCTTGAAGAGGCTGGCAGGAACTACCTGGGGGGCAAACTTTCCCACCCTGAGTAATACCTCCCTTGCCCTGGCTTACTCCACTGCAGAATATTGCGCCCCTGTGTGGTGCAGGAGTAGCCATACAAAGACAATTGATACAGCCCTAAACAACAGCATGAGGCTTATCACAGGATGTCTGAGATCAACACCAAAACCCTATCTCCCGGTACTAAGCGACATACTTCCCCCAGATATCAGACGGGATCAACGTTGTCTCCAACTGGCCAACAGAACACATGAGCCAGGACATCGTTCCAGTGACTCCGGCAAGATGAGGAATATACCAGGCTTTCCTCAAGGGCTCCACTGATTCCATACTTGCGAAAGTTAGAGGAGAACAAAAATGAAATGTCAAAAGAGACATGGGGAATGGTGAAATGGCAGGAAGAATGGGATGTCCTCCAAAATGACAGACTGTATGACTTCATTCCTGAAGTGAGCACCCAACCACCTGGCCATGAGCTGGGTTGCCTATCATGGATTCGACTGAACTGCATCAGAACAGGTCATGGCAGTTTCCGTGCCGGTAACATGTTTGAATGTCTGATCTGTCAATCTCAAGCATGCATGTGGTGCCCCTCTACAAACAGTCAACCACATCCTAGACACTTGTCAGCTGCATCAGTGCCCAGGGTTGGACTCACTTAAGTCGTTAGACGGAAGAGCTAAAGACTGGCTTGAAAATGACAATATAATCCTTTGACTTTTGATTCTTGAGTGTACATTACCTAGATAAAAATGGACGTGTGTGTGTGTGTGTGTGTGTGTGTGTGTGTGTGTGTGTGTGTGTGTGTGTATAGTTATTTTGTGCAATGTATTCTGTCACTCCCCTTTATTAGTGCTGTTAACATCCAATGAGACTACTGTATTGTAGTTTGTGTCTGTTGTATATATATATATGTTACAATATATGTTTAGTGTAAAAATGTGTTTTGTTTTGTGATGTCAATAAAATTGAAAAAAAAAAGAAAATCTCCAAGTTACCTTTGAATAACCACGCCCAAGTTCTGCAAAATTATTGAAAGGACCATGCTGGAATCATTGTTTTTCTTCCTCACATTATTTTTGGTCTAAAAATTAGATCTCCAAGTACTAGTAGCTTGAATTAAGACTGTAAGATTTGCAATTTGCAAATCGCGGCAATTTCCACCACCATAAGGTCTGGACCTTATTCAAGTTATAATTAAATTGGTAATCAAAGAATAAAACCACAAAAATTACAATTATGACTAAATGACCAAGGGCAAAGTATACTATTTTGTACCTTTAAATGAAGGTGTAGGGAAGTACCAAAGCCATTAGATTGGGCTTCTTCTTCCTCTCTTTTGCCTTGTAAGTGCTTGATAATTTGAAGTATTGTAAGTCTTGTTCCCAAACAGCTTGAAAAAAATTAATGTTCAAATAATAAATATATAGTGGGAGAGCAACAATCATTATTCTTAATAAAAAAATTGTATGTTGATCTTTTTTAAAAATTATTTGCCAAAGTTTTGATAATCGTTCTTAATTGAACAAAAAATTTAATTATTATTTTGTACTTCCTAAAAGTATATCCACATACTCATATACCCACACCCAGTCTCTCTCT